GAAGAAGTTAGGGCTTTTTGCTTAAGTTCTTTGATGTGATTATTTCCTCTGTGATTTGTTGTTGCAGGTGAAGTGCATATGCATGTATTTAAACAGAAATTTCCAATAACTTAAGGTAACTTGTTAGGCAAGATAATCCCATTTAATACAAGAAAAGGAAAAGTTTGACTGTTTGTTTGAAGAAAAAGGAACGACTTCTCAAGAATCAAGACCAAACCAAAACGACTACGTTGACCAATGTTTTGTCAGCGAAAAGGGTACAAAGGTCAATTAAATAGCTTGCTTTAAAAAAAAAAAAAAAGGAAAGAATTCAAACCCAAAAACGACAACGTTTTGATGAATGTATTCAAACCAAGCGATAGGGGTACAAAGGTCATTTTACTACACAAGAAAGCAGAGTAAGAAGAAATTGGGATATGGATAATGGGGGGATCGAGCTGGGTTTGTGATAGTTCTCTGTTTCTTCTTCATCAATGGCTTCCATTAGTAGCTTACACAGATGGATATCATCTAACCATCAATCTCGTCGTCTCCCTCGACTCTCTTCTTCGATCTCGGAGCAAAATCAATCTCGACCCACTAATCAAGTTTTCACCTTTTCGGTTCCCATATCCAGAAGAGACGCGAATGTTATTCTTATCTGCTCCCTTCCATTGACGAGCTTCTTCGTTCTACCACCGAGCTCTTCTGATGCGAGAGAGAGAAGGAGCAGAAAAATTATCCCTATCGAGGAGTATTCCACTAGTCGTTAAGTCCCTTCGCTCTCTTCTTAGCTAATCGGTTCGTATTCCGCACAAATTTTCACAAGTAGGGTTCTAATTGATTACTCTATTGGTGAATTTGGGTTTCGAGAGTGAAACAAGTTCTGATTTTGATCAAATTTGTGAATTGATTGACTTGTATGAGCAGTTTCTGGAGATTGTACTGAAGCTTGTTTTCCTACACTATTCATTTGTTCTTGCAGCTGAAGGGTTGAAATTCTATGACATTGAGGAAGGTAAAGGACCAGTAGCTACAAAAGGATCAACTGCTCAGGTCTCTCTAATGATTCATTCACATTGAGAAAATTCCATTTTTGAATTCTCTATATCGAAATCGAGTTCGGTCCTATACATTGTTATGCGTCAGTCTTTCCACATTTTTAGGTGCATTTTGATTGCCGTTACAGAAGCATCACTGCGATTTCGACTCGAGAATCCAAGCTTTTGGCTGGAAATCGTAGTATTGCTCAGGTTACTTAACCATCTCTATCACTTTTTTTATATTTTATGATTCTGCATAGTTTTGCCAGTATTCTTCTTCCTGATTGATGGTTGCTACTTTCTTATGGAACAATAGCCTTATGAGTTCAAGGTCGGATCAACGCCAGGAAAAGAAAGGAAGCGTGAATTCGTAGATAATCCAAACGGTTTGTTCTCTGCACAGGCTGCACCAAAGCCTCCTCCAGCTATGTATTACATAACCGAAGGAATGAAAGTGGGAGGCAAGGTTAGAAACCGCACAGCTTTTTACTTCTTACAACACTTGGTTACTTGGCAATGTATGCTAGTTTTTGACCTCTTTTGTGTTGATGTAGAGAACTGTGATTGTTCCTCCGGAAGCTGGTTATGGTCAGAAAGGAATGAACGAGATACCGGTGAGAACCTACAAATTGTATATGTATGAGGAAAGCTCCGTCTTTTTGCAGAAAACTAAGTACAAAATGTATTGGTTTAATGCTTCGGGTCTAAGAGAAAAAGGGAACATGTATGTGTTTTGTAGCCTGGAGCTACATTTGAGTTGAACATAGAGCTGCTTCAGGTGATTCCCCCAGAAGAGAAGTGAACAAGATTCTTCCAATAATGATAAGACAAATAAGACAAGTTTGAAGCTTGAAGCATTTTGTCTAGGCCATCAGTTAGCCATGTTAAACAAACTTATAACATAATTGTACGAAAATTATTTTATGATTAATTACACTCAAATCTAGTAAATTAGTGTGAATTAATCAATTTGGAAAATTTATTTCATTCGACTCTAATTTTTTTTATTGTCAACTTTTTCTTTGTTTGTTAAAGGTTTTTCAGTATAGAAATTATTTTCTTCCCTCTGTATATATTTTGGAAAAGTATATAATGAAGTTTCAATAATGTGAAAAAATCAAAATGTGTGTACATACTTCAATATATAGTAGAATCCAAATTCAGGAAAAATGAAGACGTCATGCGCTATTTTCATTGGCTATATCCATTTGGCTCCATCAACCAAAAAGCTACAAGATTCTGTACATTTAAATTCATATTCATTACCACCATTTTTTTTTTGTAATGTAAAACTTATCAAACGACAGAAAAACAAAAATTTAAAATAGTTTGCTAAATTACTTAAAATTTTGGAAAACAATTGTAAAAATAAATTTTGATCAATGTAAGATGTTAAAAAGGAAAAAAACAATTGGAAAATTAATCAAAATGGAGACAAAATGAAAATTTTAAAGAGGTAAATAGATATGATACGTAGAGTCACGAGTGACAAACCAATAGTATATGAGAAGGTTATCAAATAAAAATTATGCTTTTTTTTTCTAATCGATTTGTTTTATTTACGTTTAACAACTTTCTATAATGTTGAAAGTAATTCTCATTAATTCCAACTGATGAATGTACAATAATATATATAGACTTGTGAAATAGCTAAGAGACTCAAGCTAAAGGAGACTTAAGCTCTAACAAACTACTCCTACTATATATTAATACA